CTGCGTTGGCCGTCGAAAGGTGTGGGGATTTCTATTCTGCGGGTGACGAGGTGCTTGAAGCAATTACCAGCTTCAGCGTGCCGGGTGGAGTCATCCCCGCGGAAGGCTGGGAAGGGAGCCACAGAAAGGCAGGGGACGCAGACAGCCGTGAGGGCGGCGGCGAGCCGGACGGCACATCTTGGCGATGGAGTAACGTCCCGGCTCACTGCTGGCCCTGGCCCTTGAAGTGAATCTGCCGCATGCCACTGCGCCGCAAGCGAAGAGCGGCACATCTAACACTTTGCTTCGCACGGCAGATGGTAGCAGTATTCGTCAATGGGTGCGTGCAGCACAGCTACGGCGGCGGCGGCGGTGGTGGTGGCTGTTGCCTTTGGCCTCTGTTGCTGTGGGCTGCCATGAATAGTGAGAGTGATATGCAGTTTTTTACTTGTTGTTGAGTTGCTGGAGTAGCTGCTGCTTGCTGACCAATTAATACTATGGGACATTTTGTTACATTATTTTTGAGTTGGAAATTGGTTGTATTGACGTCTTGTGTGTTTATTTGGTTTTTGTGTTCATGTTGGGAGTGCGTCTGTGATGGGGTTTCCCTTGTACTTGTGGCTAGTGGTGTGAATCAGAGGAGTTTGGTGTGCGCCGTGCGTACGTGCCCGTCTGATGTTTTTCTGCCAACTTGGATGATAAACGTGTGTACTCTGCCGCTCTCTCTCTTTTTTTTTCCCCCTGGGGCGAATGCGGTGGCTTCGGTGGTATTTGCTTGTCTGCAGGGATGTATGAACAGGACACATGTTTTCGTGCCGCAAATACCCCACTTTTCGTTCAACTTTTTGGACCCTCGTGCACCCCGCCGCCGCACTCTCGTGCGAGGGAATCTTTGTGTCTCCCTTTGGCGACATGCACGCGACCTCATGAGGGCGTTCGCCACCGTGCGATCAACCCACCTCCTGTGCCTGTGTCGCTGCCGGACTCAGACGAGAGCGGCACCGCCGCAGCCGGCGTGGTGCCTGGCGGGGACGCGGTCACGGTGGAGAGTCACGCAGACGCCACAGTGAATGATGCGGTTTTTGAGCGGGATAACACCGACACGTCCGAGAAACCCAAGCTGCCGTTTCGTCAGGTAATGAGGGAGCTGGAGCGGCGTTTTCAGGAGCAGATGGAGGTGCACCGTGGCCTTCAGGCGTCGATGCAACAAGTTGATTTGCTCCGCGACGAGGTTTCACTTTTTCGAGCAGAGCGGCGCACGGCGGCTCTCGCGTCGGCATTAAGCAGACAATCAATGTCATTGATGGAGCCTGCAGTGGCTGCAAGCATGCCAGCTGCTCCGGCGCCACCACGGCTGTCTAAGAGCAGCGGTGCAGCTATCGCCGCCAGCCCACTGCTAGAGAAGATACTGAAGTCATACGCCGAGGAGCGCTCTAGTAAGGTGCCTCAAGTGGAGGAAGCAAAGCCATCAAAGGCCGAAAACACACGAAGAAGACTTCCTGTGGATGTGATTCGCCCGCCAGAGGAGCCGCGGCCTTATGCACGTGTCTATTATGTTCCTGTAGCAAAACCTCAGGAGAATGCATATAGTGAGGCCGTTGTAAGTGCCTCAACCCTTTTAACTTCAGCAAATTCGGCGTCTACCAGTGCGTTGTATACGGAGGACTTTGAAGCTAGTGCTGGTGTTTCAACGGACCTATCAGTTGCAAGCGGTTTCAGTAACTCGAGCGTTGCAACGAGCAGCATGTCTGTTACAAGTAGCACAAGTATAAGGCAGTCCGCTTCTGATAGCGTCTCAACCGTTACCACGATGACAGAGTCTTCTGTGATTGATAGGGTAAATAATAGTGGCGTGCGTGGCTCAAGTGGGGACGACATGTCTTTATTGACGGTACTGCAAGAGTTCTACAATGTGTGTGGGAGTGCGAATCGTCTTGTGCATGCACTCCTCGGCACCGACGGAAATGCAGAACGGGTGCAGCTGAGAGATGAAGGTGCGGTTGCCCTGGGAATGAAGTCTGTCACGGACGCCAAGGACGAAGATGGGCGTCAGGTGTGGTTGTCAAGCCTGCGGCGTGATGTCGGCGACGTTCGGAAACTCCGCCGCTTTATTGATCACATGAAAAAGAACATGAGGTCGCTTGACTGCCAGCGCAAGGCGCAAGAGGCAAAACGAAGGCTCCTTGTCAATGCCCAGCGTCTGGCGAGGGCCCACCAAAGAATGCGCCACAACAAAAGTACACTGTCTGACGTTATGGATGGCATTGTCGACCTTCTCGGGAGCGAGGCCAGCCGCAGCGGTGAGGAAACGGTGATGGATGAAGTCGCCATCGATTCAGCGCTCAGATGGGATGGCGTTAGTGACGAAGTGGTGGAAGACGATGTCGTAGATGTCGCGAGCAGTTCTGACGTCATGGATGATGCGGTAGTGGATGAGCTGGATGGTCTGGGAGAATGGGGCAACAGTAGGCTTGGTGATGACGACGATGTGGATGTTCCTCAAGAAGTGGGGAGTGAATTAAGCTGGGCGGTGGCGGAAAGTGAGTATGCAAACGCTCTTGCTGAAGCAAGTGATGTTGGTGACATGGTGAAGGATGAGGTCCCACTACCAAGTGATGAGGAAGAAGCGGGGGAGGTGGACGAGGACCTTACGCCATTGCCGTTGGATGTCGCGAGCAGTGTGCCGGAAGTCGTGGACGATGTCGCGAATTCGGATTCTGACGTTGCTGCCGAGGAAGCGCAAGGGGAAAGTTTGGCGGCGAGTTTCCAGGACGAGGATGTTGATGATGATGTCCCCGATGCCTCTCTCTTGGGCGATGCAACCTCGCAAGATGCCGATGTGTCCTCTGTGTTTCCAGCCTCTACCACCACTCTGTCGAGTGTTCCGGCGAACAATCAGGCAAGGGACGACGAGGAGTACAACCACGAGGGAACGGATTCTGCTGAAAGCGCGCTTGATGCACTGGAGCACGACCTGCGGGAGACGGAGTCGCGGCGAGTGAAGGCCCTGTTGTCGGTTCACCCGACTCTTTTTACTTCGCTCTACGCCGCCGAGGAGGTGAGTCCAACGCCGACCGGCAGTTCTCACGACGCTGCAGAGCAAACACCAAACGGCGAGGATGTAGGTCCAGAGGCAACCGTCGTGCAGCCAGCGGAGAGTGAGGTGAGGCCCGCATGTGCGGTGTCGCTCGTTTGTGATGAGGTGGTGGAAGCAACGATAGAATTGCCGCGCGAGAGTGCGGTTTCTGGCTACGCTGCCGATGATATTGTAGCCCAATTACAGTGGAAGGAGCGTCAGTTGGCCCTCTTGCGGCAGTTACGACGGAAGACGGCATGGGAGCAGGAGAGAGACGAGGAAGAAGGAAATGAAGATAAAACGGCGACGGCCGCGCAGTTATCAATGCCAGTGGAAGAGAAGGCGGATTACCACTGGGGCATGTTAGAGACTCTCCTGCAGTGCCGCTTCGGCACTACAGGGAATGAGGGCCCTGATGAAGACATGTTGGCGGATAGTGTCAATGAGAGTAGCTGGACTGACGCCTACGACGACACTGCCGCCTATACCAGCTCAGATGTAGAATTCTCAGCTGGTAGTGAAGCGTCTTTACAGACTGCCTGACGGTGTCTGGCTTACCGCGCTCGCTGTTGATGACGGTTGGAAATGTTTGTAGAGCGAAGGTTGTTTTTTTTTTCTTTGGTGTTGTCGTCTCTTTCTTTGGAGTGGGGGAGATTTGCTACTACTCCCATTCTTATTGTGTTTTTTTTTGTTTTCTTTAACTTTTCGTATGACTACGACAACCATAGACCGTTTTACTTGCGAATATACAAGCATGCATACAATTCTTTTTTGTTTGTTTGTTTTTTCCAGGCACAAATTATAATTTACAACTTCTCTGAAACGTTTGTATTTCTCCTTCTGTGCGTGTGTGTTGCTTACTCCGCCCATCATTATGGAGGGAGTGTACGCACGTGCTCTGTGTCACATGCATGTATGGGGATCTGCCCAGCCTGCTGCCGTGACTTTGTTTCTGTCTCTCCCCAATGTAGCACGGGGCGAAAGAGAGAAAAAGGTGGTGGGGAAAGAGACTAAGGGAGGCAGGAAAGCCCGCTGGGAGAGAGAGAACCAAAAAGAAAAAAAAGGAGTCACTCATCCAATTCTTCTCACATCTACGCGGCAATCTCAGGCGAGGGACGGGCTGCGGTAACAGGGGAGGGGGGAGATGAACCGTGCAAGGTGGAAGAAACATCGTTCAGAGTTTTTGAATGATGACTGTGGGCAAAATGCCCTTCAGCTGGTGGCGCGGGGAAGTACCATCATCGCTGAGATTTTGCGCCTCTCGGAGCACATACCGCTGGAGTTTATACGCCCGGAAGAGACGGAGTACACCGCCCTCATCAGTGATTTTCGCTATTTTAAGGCGCAGGATGAGTTTGAACAACGCATTCAGAACTCTATTGAGCTGCTTCAGAAGGATGAGGTTTTTGCCACAACCCATATGGAGCTTCTTGATCGTTTTTTTAAGCTCTTCCGCGGTGTCTATGGGTACGTGATGGAGCTAAACCGATACATAGAGGAGATACGGGAGGGAATGTACATTTCTCAGACGCTGGAGTCTATTTTGGTTAACCTCGACGGCAAACAACTCCTCTGTGAAATTATGCATCTCTACGGTGTCATGCTACTTCTGCTAGATCACAAACTTGGGGGCAAGACGCGAGAAAATCTTCTTGTGAGTTACATTCGCTACAAGGGCGCTGGAGAGGCAAACATGGTTGAGGTGACCAACCTGTGCCGCGCCACCGGCTACGAGCCTGGGCACGCGTCACCTGAGTGCTATCCTGTGGCGTACTTTAGTCGTGTGCCTATTGACAAGGAGGTGGTTGGAATGATTTTAGGGCGTATTCGCTCCGATGACATCTACCAGATGGCATACAATTATCCTGCACCCGAGCACCGTAGTGCCGCCTTGGCTCTGCAGGGAGCCGTGTTGTATGTGCTTTTATTTTTCCGTCCAGAGATATTGCATCAAGAAGGTCCTGTTATGCGAGAGATTGTGGATAAACACTTTGCGGACAATTGGGTGATAAACTATTACATGGGATTTACGGTGGATCTTACGCTGGCGTGGCGGGATTTTAAGGCGGCTAGTGACGCCATAAGTAGGACTATTGCTACTGAGAATGTGGCTTACCACCTAGAGCGAATGCGGACCGGTATGACGTCCCTCAATAGCTCCATTGGCGAAGTCCTGCGGGAGGGTGTGCTGACGGAGAAGTATGTTCTGGACAACATTCACGCCTCTTTGCTGCCCCGCATCCGAGAGGCCAACGTAGTACTGCGGTGGTTTATCCTTCACACAACCCGCGGTGCACCCGGTAGTCGTTGCCTTGAGAAGTATCGAAGGAGCTGCGACATGGTCGCTGCGGCTGTCACGGAAGATGATATTATCACGCTGTTACTACGCACCGCTCAGCTGGAATTTACGCTCCGTGCCATGTTCACTACACTGCTGAAGCAAAAACGTTCCAAGTGGGAGTCCTCGAGAGAGGAAGGGGCAGCAAAGATGTTAAAGTTGGCCACTTTTTTCTCAGGGGAGCATGTTCTTAGTGATAATGTGCGTGATTCACAGCTGGAGGCGTGGTTCACAGAAATCTCTGAACGCATTCAGGGCCTCGAGTACTCCGACAGTATCACCGCCAGTCGCAAAATTCAAAAACTAATTAAAGCGCTTGAAAATGTGCAGGAGTTTCACCAGATTGACAGCAATCTTCAAGTTGTTCAGTTTGTGCAGGACACACGCTTTCTCCTACGCCAGATGATACGGTACATTAACATTGAGAACAAGGTGCTTATTACGATTGCCACGGTGGGCGACTTATCCTATGCCTGGGAGCTTGTAGCCACATACGGCTGCTTTGTAAATGCTATTCAACTGAAAATCAAACAACAACCAGACCTTGCTGTGCAAATGCGTGCCGTCTTTGTGAAGCTGGCGTCTATGCTGGAGCTGCCGTGTAACCGTATTGACCAGGGAGCGCAGAATGATGCGCGTCTGTTGGCAGCGCTGGAAACAACCTCGGAGTACTACTCCAGCGAACTGGTGGCGTTTGCCCGAAGCGTCCTGCATGTCATTCCAACCTCCATCTTTGATGTGCTTCGCCAAATTATGAAGATCCTCACCGATGACCTCCACGAATGTCCGACGAAGCTGTTGCGCAGGGAGATGAAGAGCGAGAGCCAGTTGGACCTCCGGCGCAAACTCTCTGCACTCACCGCGGATATTGCCAGGTATGCCAGTGGTATTCTTGCGATGGAAAGCACACTTGTGGGCGTGATTCAGGTAGATTCGCATCAACTCTTGGAAGATGGCATTCGCAAGGAACTTGTGCGACAGATCACACACATGCTTCATCACTCGTTGTTATTTGACAGAAATAATCCCATCTCGGCAAGTCTCTTTGATAATGAGCTTGCGGGCCTTGCACAAAAGCTGAACGGCATCCGAGCCTCCTTTGAGTACATTCAGGACTACGTCAATGTGCACGGACTCCGTATTTGGTTGGAGGAGTTTTCCCGCATTGTTAACTTCAACGTGGAGATGGAGTGCAACACTTTCATGCAAAAGAAGCTGTACCCCTGGAAGTCGCAGTATCAATCTGATAGCATCCCCATTCCGTATTTTCCACGCACCAAGGAGAAGATGGCATACAGTTTTCTTGGGAGAATATTGCAACACCTGCTTATGATGACTGATCCAATGCGCTCTGTGTTTTTAACAGCATACGGCTCCTGGTACGAGCGAGGATCTCTACAGGAGATTGTGGGAACGCGTACCTTTACAAGCATTTGCAACGCCATTGGTTCCATGGGTCTCGGAGCGCTGGATCGACTGATGTGTTTTGTGCTTGCAAAGGACTTGCAGCTGGCGTTGAAATTCATTCGTGCGGCACTTGAACCGGTGGAGGAAGTTGTTGCGGAGCTTAGCGGGGAGTTGTGTCCGGCCGCTGGGACGCCGGAGAACGCCACACACATTTACGCCAAGCTAGTGGAGACCGTCGGTGGGGGAAGCAGCGGTGGTCACTTTGCAGAGCTCACGAAGATTTTGGTGCGTGTGGGTCGTATACAACTCATGCGCACGATGCTTGCGAGTGAACTTCGCGCCTTTTGCAAGCTAAACAGTGGCTCCCTCTTTGCCGCACTCTCAACTGCAAATGAGGCGCTCTTGATGGACCTGCGTCATCACTACCATAACCCCGGCTCTCACCCCATTCCAGACGATGTCATTGCCGTCATTTCCCCCTTCCTGGATTGTGTTGGCATCAGCGATGCGTTGTCCAAGGTGTACGTGACGTCGCGGCCGATACCGTCTCTCGTGTTCCACCTTCTCGCTCTGACGCTGTGCAATGTGCCAAAGATGCGCTACGATGCGTCGGTTGCATCCATGGTGCCGAACCTCTTGAGTGACCTGGTCGACCCTGAGGCGTTCGCCCAGGGTCTATCACTCTTACTTAAGCAGTTCCACTCAGACCAGTTAGTACTCTTCCTGAATCACCTCTCGCAGGCGGTTCGCGTGTATGTGTGTTCCTTTGAGAATAAGAGCGCTCGCCAGAAAGAGGATGTCCTACTGACGGAGGCAGAGGTCCTTACGCAGGTGATACATAAACTGGCGGCATCATCCGGTTTGCCCATTATCGACTTTCACCGCGCACTTCCTGCTACTCTCTGTGGGATGCCTCGTTTGTCTACACAAGGCATAAAAAGGTAAAGCGCTATGGGCCAGAAATTTGTTTATTGCTGCTGCGACTATCATTGTCTTTTGTTGTTGGTGGGCCTGCGAGCGTGTTTTTTGAGTTTTTTTTTATTATTGGTTGTTGTTGTTGTGTTGCTCTGATTGCTGTTTGGTGGTTTGCGTGGCGTGGTGCGTGCGCGAGTGAATTGGACGAGTGTGGAGGCGCGCTACGGTCGCCGAGCAAGGAAGGAAGCGGGCAGCGGTGAGCCCCTTTTTTGATACAAGTGTAATAATAAAAAAAGCATGTGGTTGTGTTTTGGCTGCAACCACGCATGACGTGCACAAGAGCAATGACAATAGCCCCGTACCCGTTACCTTCTTCTGTTTCTTCGTTCATCTTTGCTTTCCGCACATGTGTAGTTTCTCGTGCAGGCTGGTTGGGATCGCTCGGACGTTGCACACGGGCGTTTGGGGAGTGTTTTTTTTTTGTTGCGAAATGGATGATACAGCTGCGTTGGAGTTGGAGGTGGAGGCGACACGGCGCAAGCTGCGGGACCTTGAACGCCGGCTGGGCGACAGTCGCCGCGCCTCGGCACCGCAGGCCGTGACTAAGAACAGCCATGTGGCACCCCTGAATGCGGGTGACACGTTGACGTCTTTTGTGTGCGCAGCGGCGTCGTTAACAAAGGCGGATGTGGAGCGTTTCTCGCGGCAGATGATGGTGGAAGGCGTCGGCGCCATCGGCATGGAGCGCATTCGTCGGGGGCGTGTGCTGCTGGTGGGCGCTGGTGGCCTGGGCAGCACCATTGCACTTTTTCTCGCGGCTGCAGGCGTGGGTGAGCTGAGGATTGTTGACTTTGACACTGTGGAGCTGAGCAATCTGCACCGCCAAGTGATACACACAACAGACCGTGTCACGTGGAAAAAGGTGGACAGCACGGCAAGCGCATGTTATGCACTTAACCCGGATATTCTGGTTCTTCCACTGGCGTTGCCGCTTGATGCCTCTAACGCGGAGGATCTCGTGCGGGACTGCGATGTGGTGGTGGATGGGACGGACAATGTTGCGGCGCGCTACTTAATAAATGACGCCGCTGCCCGACAGCGAAAGCCTGTTGTCAGCGGCAGTGCGATGCGTTGGGATGGTCAGTTATCGGTGTATGGGTATGACGGTGGTCCATGTCTACGCTGTCTTTTCCCTGTTCCGCCGCCACCAGAGGCGGTCGGAAGCTGCAACGACACAGGTGTTATGGGTCCGGTGCCTGGCTGCATTGGCTGTTTGCAGGCGATGGAGGTGCTGAAGATTTTGACACAAGCCGGAGATGTACTTTCAGGACGCATGCTTATCTTTGATGGACTCCGCTTTCGCGTGCAAGTTGTGAACCTTCGTTGTAGACAAGCGTCATGTCCAGCGTGCGGAGATGCGGTGGATAAAAGTATCCGGCTACAGGAACTCGTAGCGCAGCATCCCGAGTACATTGGGGTGTCATGTGTATCTGGGTCCGTCTTGAATGCACAACCGCTTCCCACGGAAGCGCGAGCCTCAGCGAGGGAGCTTTTCGCATATCTTCAACGCGCAGAGGGCACCACGGCAAACTGCTTGATTTTAGATGTGCGATCGAAGCAGCAGTACGACATGGCCCATCTTCCTACTGCCGTCTCACTGCCGCTGCCGCATCTTAAAAAATGGCAGTCTGATGATGTACTTTGGGACGAGTGGGAGCGTTTCGTAAGTTGCTATCATACTGGTACGGACGGTTGTTTGACGGTTTTTGTGATCTGTCGCAGAGGGATCTCGTCGACCGAAGCCGCACGAATTCTCTTGTCGCTTCAACCACCGTGCAAAACGGGGTATGATGGTTGCGTCGACGCCACAACGCCCTCCACCTCAACGCGGCGGTACCGCTTTCTGAACGTGGACGGGGGACTTAACCGGTACCACCAGGAGGCTGACAAGAACTTTCCTTTTTACTAAGCAACCAGTTTTTTTTTTTTTTTGCTGCTGGAGGCAACGGTGTGGCGTGTGGGCGGGCGCTCTTTTCTTCTTCTTCTACGTGTAGTTACGCTCTGTGCATGTGCATGCGGTCCCTATTCTTTCTCGTTGCTCCCCCCGTACGCTGCCTTGCGGTAACGTGTGAATGCTACGAGTCACGATTATTTCAATGTGTCCCCTCCGACTTCGTGGGTGCGCTGAGCCCTTTCTCTTTTTCTCCCTCCCCCTTGAGTGGCAAACTAGTCGGGCTGTGTGTTGCGGCGTAGCGTTGATGCGCCACACGTCGGTGGTTGTCAGCCGTTTTGTTGGGTCATCCCCGACAGAGGAGAACACGAGCCGCGACGTGCTCTCCTCACCCCTCTCGCCGCCGCCGCCTCCTCCCAGCACAGGGAGCGACGAGGAAAGCGTGCCAGAGGACTCAGTCCTTGGAAGTTTGCCACGCGCGCTTGAGAGCGTCGTACGGAAGCTAGTGCGGCGGCCAGGCGTCACTAACTACCCATCGACGGTTGGGATGCAAGCAGGTGATGGTGATGGTGTGTGGCAGTGTGCCGCTACACCCCCCATGATGCCAGACAGCACAGACGGCAGGAGCGCCCTCACTCTTAACAAGTTGCCGCTTTTGGCCTCGCCTTATTTCGGCTCAGATGTGGAAACCACACGGGCATCTGATTTAGCCGCCCGCTACCCGTATTACAATTCACATATTTCGTTGCCCACCACTACAGGTAATTCGCAAAAGGAATTGAGACGACAAAATCGCAGCTTGGGTGACGGTGCCTCTCCAATGATCCTCCAAACAGCGACTGACAACATTAGAGCTGCCTCGCTCCCTCCTCTAACAGTAGTGGACATGAACCAGGCCATTGAGCAATGTATGCAGGAGTGCCAACGAGCGATGTCGCCTCTTACCAGCAGTATGCCCTTTATTCGGGTTCACAAGGGTGAATGCGTGGGGAAGGTAGACACAGCGATCCGGAATACACGCCTAGTTGAGTGTTTGAGAGAAGTTCGTATGGAATGTGGTGCTAACAGCTTTGTGGCAGCTTTTCTATCCGCCAATGGGTACAACGAGGCGCTACGCTCGTTTAGGATGCATCTGCCGTTGGCCGAGCAACAACTTCAAAGCTTTCTGTATCATCAACGAAAACAGCAGCAACAGCGTCAGGGTAGATGTTTGGTTACAACTCCGTCTGTACAACAGGGAGGGCAAGAGGTGTTGCCATCACCAGAATATGCCATGACGAATGATGACTTGCTGCTCCTCGTGATGGAAACTGTACGACGCAAACAGTTACTCAATGACAGCCTACCCTGGCGGGATGTCAATTGCCAGCGAAATGATTATCGTCTGGAGTCTTTGAGACGGCAGAAAACGCCTCAGGAGAACACCCCTACGTCGCCAGACAGCGGTGTTGCAACTTCGTTTGCTTCGGCCATTGGTGGGTCGCTAGACCTCCTCATTGAGGTTCTTATTCTTGTGGAAACAGACATCCCTTTCACCACGGGAATGCCACTAATGAACTATACCAATACCTTCATTGTTCTTGCTTCTTTGTTTGTGATGCCGGAGGTGTTAATTGTGCGGCTTATCCGCCTTTTTCGCCACGTGCAACAGGACTTGATTTTGGATCACAGCCGCCGCGTCTTTTTACAGCGCCGTATCGTACAATTTATGACTGCCTACTGCAGTTATCATGAGGCGGATGTGACGTCCACCCTTCTTGAGCGTCTTCGGCTGTTTTTGCAGAAGTTGTGTGTCACACCTCCGGTGGGTCACTCCGCACGCGGCGCCGAAGCCGTCACTTGTGGCGAGGCGAAAAGGTCAACGGCAGACACACAAGAAGAACTGGGCGGTTTCCTTTTTGTGCATGCCGAAGTTGCGCCGAGCCTTAACGAGTTGTCCGCTTTTGTTGAGCTCACCTTAGAAAAAATGTACATGGCGTCTCAAGAAGGTGGTTCAGGTGTCTGCTGGCAACGGCATTTAACGGCGCTTGTGAGGCCACTAGGCACCATCTTGAAGACGTCGAACCAACAGTCTCGTGGTGCGGAAGATGTGAACAGCGTCCAGGCAGCGTTCCACAAAGAGTATCTTAAAAAGAAAGGGGAGCATCAAGCGGAGGTTGCGTTCACAGTAGTTTCTGCGGAAACGCTTGCGATGCAATTATGCCTTCTCTCATTTAAGTTGTTTGCCGATATTCGTTTGCGTGAATTACTTAACAATGCGTGGTGTGATGAGGTCATGCGCATGAGTGTGCCTAATTACTTATTGCGGCTGATTGACTATTCCTCCCACGTGCAGCGATGGACGACGGCTGTGATTGTGAGCCCGGCACGATGGTCCGAGTGCCAAAAGGCCATGACTTATGTCATTCGCCTCTGTCGTTGTCTGTGCGACCAACAAAACTATGAAATGGCCTCGGCTGTGTTGGGTGGCCTGCAGCATCCTGCAGTGGTGGCATTGGAAGACTTGTACCAAGGACGGGTTGAGCCTCACGGCATATTAGGCGATGAGGAGCAGCGGGAGTTAACGGCGCTGCAGAATCTCATGGATCCGTTTGCCTCCCAAGAGAGCCCTTCTTCGTTTTCCTGTATCAGTAGCCGCGCCTCGGAAGAGTCACAGGCGCCGATGATTCCGCTGCTTGCACCACTCCTTGGCGTGCTTTTCCGCACCGAGGAGGTGAGGGGAAGGACGGTGGAGTTGTTTCCCACGACTGGACTTCCCGTCGTGAACTGGACCAAAATAATGGCGATTAGCAAGACCGTGTTTTTGTGGCTCCGCTGCCAAAACACGCCGTACGCGTACGCACCGGACGCCACGCTGCAGCACTACTTGTGGCAGCTGCCCGGTCATTTGCTGCGCGACGCAACCTTGATGGGGCTTGCGCGGCAGAAACGCCAGCTGTGAGACAACGCCACGCCCCCACAGACGCAAAATCAAGGGCATGAGGAGGAGGAACAAATGGAACCCCTAGTTTTCATTCTTGTTTTGTGTTTCTTGAGCACCCGCTACGTGCACATGCAAACAGGCGGGCGTGGGTAGCGGTCGAGAGACAAATAAAAAAGTGTATTTGCATGAAAGCATCTTCAGTGCACACACGTGCATATGTGATGTATTTTCATTGGATGTGTTTAATTGGAATGGTTTTTTTTTACTTTGTTTTATTCTTCTTAAAACATTTTCTTCTTTGTCTCTTTCTGTCGTCGTTTTTTATTCCCCCTATTATTATTTTTGAAGCACAGTCGCTCTGACGAGGTGTCTTAAGCTAAAGACTAAGAACGGAAAGGAAAGAAAAGGAAAGGTAAAAGAAGGAAGTGAGTGTTTCCGCAAGCATGAGCCGTCCGTACTGTAAGAACCGTTGCAAAAATGGGGGTCGTTGGGGACCAGGACGTGGAGGGTTCCAACAAAACGAGGGTGCTCCCACTGGGCGTTTTCTCCGCGGGCATGGACGAGGCGCTGGCGGCGGAAACGGCGGTCCAGGAAGCAACAATAATAAGAACAACGGCAAAAACAGTAATAACGCGGCTGGCCGGGACGGCGCCGCCACGTCGGTAATGACAACCCTCTTAGACCTCCTCTTCCAAAAGTCCGCAGGGGAGATCTTTGACTCGAGCTCTGGCACGTTGAACCTTTCCAGGTTCAGTGAGTCCCCAGACCTGCTCAGTGTTCAGCACAGCGTGGACTTCAACAGTGTGGCCTTTTGCAAGAGCCTTGTCGACGTGATTAAAAACAAGGCCGGCACGTCCCTTCGCATTCTCGTGCTGAACGACAACAATATACGGAAGTTAACCGTTTTCTTGGCGGCACTGGAGGCGGCGGATGTCTATCGTGGCGTGACCGCCATATCTGCAACGGGCAACCATATCTCCGACCTCAACTTTCTGGGGCCACTAAAACGGTATGAGGGCTTGGGGGAGCTGTTGCTGCGGGAAAACCCTGTGACGAAGCGCGGCGACTACAAGGCACAGGTGATTAAGGGTCTGCCAAAACTTATGATGCTGGATGGTGAAATTATTGATCGTGGTCTCATGCGCCTGCCCAATCCTGTGCCTGTTGTTCTCAATGAGAACCAAATTGGTGTGCTGCGCTTTGTTCGAGAGTAATGTGTTTGCCGCGGCAGCCTCACGCAACTACGATGCTCTGGTTAACTTATACAGCCCAAGTGTTGTGTGTAGTGTGAGCCGGGCGGAGGAGCCTATTCCGCGACGTTTGATGTTTGACACCGCACACAATGGTCAATCCCTGTCCCCACCGCAACGCAACATTATGGCCAATGATTTTATGACCCTTCGAAGACACATCCAATGGAGAAACCTTCACACCGATGTGCACTCCCTACGTAATGTTTTTCTTGGCCGCGCCAAGGCGTCATTGGCTCTTCAGGCGCTTGGTGGTGGTGAAAAGAAGTTTATCAGTGTGTCACATGAACTCAACGGAAACGCCAATGTTGTTTTCCTTTTGCAGAATATGAAGGTGCCAACGTGTGTATTAACTGTGCACGGCAGGCTTGTTTGGCATTGGTCCCCAAAAGGCAGTGACGGGGCAGATTTGGTTCCACGGGGCGCGGCGCCCTTCCTTACGGCGTTTTTTGACCGCACCATGTCACTTCTTTGGGACAACGTTAATAACATGTGGAGCATCCAAAATGATATGGTTTTTATGCGTCCTGACCGTACACTGCTGCACGACGACGGGTCAGCGAGTTCCCCTTTGTTCTTTGCAAACCAACCGACGAGAGTGGAAGTCATGCGGCGGCGCTACCTGCCAAATGCCACAACGGAAGTGATGCGAAGCGTTATTGAACACTTTGGCAGTGACGCGGGCGTACAGGCGTTTATCATGAGCCATCTTCCGACACTACCAGCGGACCGCGTAGAAGGGGCTCTGAAAGACCCTGCATCCATGTTGTCCCTTATACAGGGATAGGGAGCACGAAGTTCATTTAGAAATAAGTAACTTTAAGTGAATATGTTATATTGGTGGGCAATTGCCTTTTTATGAATCCGATCGCGAGGAGTGTTGACCCAAAAGCAATGAAGGCTCGTGCTTGGATGATATATATATATATATATATATATATATATATAAGTGTCTACATATTTACGTGTGGTAGGATAGGGTGGGCTCCAGACGAGTTGGGATGCGGTGTGTTGCATCGAGTCTTGTTTCTCTGTGCATAATTGTTCTCTTCCTCAATGCTTCTTCTTTTCATTTTCTTTTTTGTAATTTCTTTTCTTCTGTTGTTGCTGCTTGATCTCTCTCCCAACTCTTCGAGACGTTGTGGCGCAATGTTGGTGCCGGTGGTGGTAGTGGTAATTCTTAAAGGTAGATATATTTTTTTATTATTTTTGTTTTTGTTTTCATTTTAGGCTTTGCAGTGAGCGACTCTACGATCATCCGCCTTATTTCTCGTTCCTTTTTTTTTTTTACTGGGGAGACGGGTTAAACCTTACGACACCTTACGGTGCCATTTTGCTTCGCCTCTCTGTCTCTGTTCACTTTCTTTTGCGCTGCAACCACGTCCTTTACACGCCGCATTGCCGCGCTTTTTTCCCCTGATTCCCCACTCCCCACTCACGTGACGCGTTCAGCGGGTGTGTTTCCGTTGGTGTGTATATTTGCACATCCATCCATGCAAGGAGAGAAGTGTGTGTGGCTCCAAGGCAGATGGTGTGCATATTTCATGGAATCAATGTTGTTTATTCCTCATCATGCATGTGTGACGGGATGTACAGCTGCATAAAGCTCTCAACGAATTCCTTTTCCTTCACGTGCATATATCGTGTATGGGTAAAGGACGTGGTGTCGTCTTTGCCGCTGGCACTGTCGGCGCATCGCGGCGCTTTCTGCGCGTCTCCACTAGCGTATTGTTCCGCAAGGGTCAGCGCGTGCGCATCCACACGCCTGTGTGTGGCGTTGGTGGTGGTGGAGGGGGGGGGGCTGTGAACTCATGAGCTCCGTCACTGTGTGTGAGCGTGTGGGGGGAGGGGAAAAAGTGAAGCACTGGCGGTGCGCAAACACGCATACACACACACCAAACAAAAAAAAAAACTTCAATAAAAAAAAACAGTGAACAGCTGTGTGAAGAAAAAAAATGTGGAGTGGCTTGCGTATGCGCTGCGGCGGCAGGGACGCGGGGAAGATGGTGGAGAGGGAGTAGAGTAAGGTGGAGTGAGAGGGGGGCCTCTGGCGGTCGCGGGGCTTTGTCCCGCCTCTCCTGTATTTTTTTTTTTTTTTATCTTTCAGTGGACCCGTTTGCGCAGTCAGCGACAGATCACCGGGGCGTGTGGAGATGGTGATGGTGGACAAGAAAAGAAAAAAAAAAAAAAACTAATTCCTATTTTTAGTCACCTGGACGGCTGCGAGAGAGCAGCCACACGGGAGCTCTCTGCCGCCCGGGGCGGTGACTAGACACACACACGCATTTGGACAGAGAGCATAGTGGTGCGGGGTGGTGTTAGAAGACAACACAAACACATACATACGTTACAGGTGGTTCGGATGGATACAGGAAACAGAAGTGATGCCACGCCGTACAGGCATCTGCTTCTTTCATTCTATTAGAATGTGGCCTTGCTTATTTTATATTCGCTTTTCTTTATTTCTTTTTTGGGGAATGGAATGCCTTTGCTCCTGCTGCCGCGCTTGTGTGTGTGTGGCGGAGAAGGGTGGTACGTTGCATTTACGTGTAATATTTTTTGTTGGAATTTTGTTCGTCTACTCGCGTGTATTGTTTCATACACGTCTCTGCATACCTCTTTCTGCCTGTGTGCGTCTACTTACACAGGGTGTTTGTTTTTTTGTTTGTATTTCCTCTCGTATGGCTGCTGTTAGCATTCTGCCCTTTTTCCCGGCCCATTTTCTTTCTTCTTTGGGTGCGCTTCCTTACACGCACACACACACTCTGTAGCTAGTTGTAGTTTGATTTCTTGTGCCGTCGACGCAATGTACGCCGCCCACAAGAAGGACATCAACCGCCACAAAAGCTTCCACCCGCTAACATACCGCAACCTCAGCAAGGTGGAGCAGCGACAGCAGGAAGATGAGGCAAAAAAAAAGTCGGCCGCCGAGCGTAGAGAGGAACTCAGGCGTGACCAGGAGCAGCGCCGGTACGATGATCTCATCCTTGCGGCCTCCGCCGACGGTGTTAGTGGTCAGCTGGCAAAGTTTCGTCAGGTGGAGAATATATTTGCTGCCGAAGCAAAAACAGAGCGGGCCGGCCGTTCCACCTCCTCTGGGAGCGGTGACTTGGCGGGCCTTTCGTCACTGCCGCTTCTGAAGAGTGGCACGCTCGTCTTCAGGAAGGATGAAGCACGGCAGGACAACGACGAAGCGAGAAGTGTGCGCAAACGTGGGCGCGACGAAGGGTGTCTGCCAGTGGACAATAACGGTAGTGAGGTGGAGGGGCCAGGGAAGGACAGGAAGGCCGTGACAGGGTTTATGTCAACAAGCGATGCAGCGCAGCTGCGGAAGGAGTTAGACAAATTGCAGAAGGAGCGGCACGACCCTCTCAGGCGCATTGAACAGTTCCAGAACCGCACCGTTGCGGCGGAGGCGAAGCGTAGAGCACTTGCGGCGAAGACAGCGGCGGCAACGGTCTCCACGGGCACTCGTGAAGACACGGAGAAGGACGTCATACACAGTCGTATTCAGGAACTACTGCTGATGAAAAGGCGGAAATGATTTTTCCCCCAAGTGTATTTCTACAATATATAACCGTACACGCACACGTATTTGTTAAGGAGGGAAGAAAGTACTCCCTCTCTTTCCTTCTCATACACACATACACTACGAAGAGGAAAAAAAGAAGAACGTGTGGGGGGAGGGAGAGGCAGAGTAGGGGAGGAGGCATCAGCGAGCCCCGCTCTTATGATGTGCACTGTGGCGTACGTATGCTGCTTTTTTTTTTCTTACTTTCGTTTGTGGTTGTGTTGTTTCTCACAAGTTGTGCTCAGGAGGCCGAAGGAAGAGGCCTTTGAGGAATCTGAGAATGATTGATGTCTGCTTTTCCCATGACTTCTCCCTCTCCCACTGC